CCAGACAGCGACTTCAGAGTTCCAATCTCCTCCCACTCAAGCTTGTAGCAAAGCTCGCGAGCAGGGTTGCTAGCCAGCTCAGTCTCTCCGTCAATGATGGGAGAAACGGTGAGTTCATCAATCTCAATGACCAAGTCATTGGCTTCTGAGGTGGCGAAGACAGAGACCTTGGTAGAGCGGGCCTCGGCGGGGAAATCAGCCTTGCAGTATGCCTTGAGGGTGCTGCCAACCTCCTTAGTAAGGGCGGTGATGTCGCGAGAGATGGACATGCGACCGATGGAAGAGGGGAGGTAGACCGTGTTGATGTCAGTGCGGCCGGCGCCAAGGATGGGCCAGTACATCTCAATGACAGACTCCAAGAAGGTAGGGTGGAGGACAGAGCTGGTCTGGTAGTGGTTGGGCATGTCGGCCGCAACATCGAAGGATGAAATGGTACCAGTGGAGTACTTGTTCGACGCCTTGCAGTCCTTGATGCACTGGAAGGATGGTCCGTAGCCGACACCAAGCTCAGTCAGGCGCTCGTACATGTCGTTCTCCGCAACGGCAACAGCCTCAGGGCCCTCGCTGGCCTTCATGGTAGCCTCAGCTCCGCGAAGAGCGGCGAGCTTTTGCTCCTTGCCATCGACCTCATTAGTCTCAGTGCCATGGAGAGCGATGAGACCAACACAGTGCTCTGTCCAGCCACTGCCGTGAGACCAAGAGCAAATGCGGAACTCCTTCCAGGTCTCGGATGCAGTCAGATTGGTCTCCTGGTGGGGGCGCAGGTTGATAGTCATCTCAACATCAGCATCCTGCAGAGCTAATGGCTTGACGACGGAGACGTCTCTCAGCTCGTACTTCTCGAATGAAATCTCCTTGCGCTGAGCCCACTGAGCGGAAGCCTCCAAAGCCATGCCGATGAAGGCAGAGATGGGGAAGATTGTCACCGACTGGATCGCGTGGTGGCGAAGCCATGGAAGGTCATCTAAGTGGACAATGTTTCTCCATGTCGGCTCGAGATCGCTGGAGTAGATGGCCTCGAGACCGATCAAGTCATTTCTGGGCGACTTGCGATACTTGTGCATCTGAGTCATGCGAGACTCTTGCCAGTACTTGTTCTGGTAGTTCCAGGCATAGCGGGGAAGATCAGTCAACAGTGACGGCTTCTTCTTCAGGTTGGGGAAGTTAACGTTGTCCATGTTGAGAATGGCACCCTTGGTGATCAGGTTGCAGGCCAAGTCCATCGCAGACTCAACGGCATCCTTCTTACGGACAAGGGGAGAGGCATAAGGCACCTTCATGGCAGCCTCTCCGACGTGCTTCAGGATCTGCTTGATGGGTCCCTGGAGAGCAGAGTGAGGACCCAATTCGATGATCATGTTAACGCCAGTCTTGTGCTCGCCGACGGGCTCCAGCATGGTCTCAAGAGCCTCAGAGAAGCGCACAGGGCAGGTAAGGTTGTTGACCCAGTAGTGAGCCTGGCACTCGAAGCCGTCGATCTGGTGTCCGTAGAGGGAAGAGTGGAAGCGGACATCGGTAGTCTGAGGATGGGGAAGCTCAGAGATGGACTCGCGGTATTCCTTGGCAACAAGGTTCATGTGGTGCGAGTGGTAAGCAGTCTCAACCTGCAGGCGTCTGTTGAACATCTGCTTGTCCTCAAGGTTCTTCTCGAGCTCGCCGAGAGCTGCGGAGTCACCGGAAATGGTCAAACTGGAGGGACTGTTGTAACAGGCAATTCTGACCTGCTGTTGCTTGAGAGCGTCGATCATGGGCTGGACTTCCTCCTTGGTTCCGCCAACGGCCATCATGGAGCCCTGAAGATCAGGGTTTCTCTGCTTCAGGATGGGGATGAGACGGCCTCTGTGGTAGGCAATGGCCATGGCGGCCTCGAAGCCAATGATACCGGCAGCGTATGCGGCGCCAATTTCACCAGAGGAGTGACCAGCAACAGCCGCGGGGCGAATGCCCCAGGTGCGGAGAAGGTCAGTCAATGCAAGCTGGACAGCACTGCAAGCCGGCTGAGAAATGTGAGCCTCGGAAACCTTGGAAGATTCTTGGTCCTTGCTGAGCTCCTCGACGAGGGACCACTCAGCACCCAACTTCCTCAGACACTCATCGGCTCTGTCAATGGCGGCAGTGTAAATGGGGTACTGGCCGTATAATTCGCGGCCCATGCCCCACCACTGAGCGCCCTGACCAGTGAAGACAAAACCGATTCTCAAGGGCTCAGTCTCCTTGCCAGGAATGACCTTGCCGCTGTTGAGGGTCTCGATAAGCTCGAAAGAGTCAGTGGCGGGGATAGCAACCCTCCACGGGAGCATTGAGCGACGCGAACCAAGAGTGTATGCGATGTTGTCCATGAGATCGTTCTGGAAAATCTCTGGTCTCTGCTCGAGGTAGACAACGAGGTTCTTCATGACGGCACCGACAGAGTTCTTGTCGTTGGCAGACAAGACGTAGATCTTCTTGGTGCTCTTTGCCTTCTTGTTATCGGGAGGAGGAAGGTTCTTGTTGTCCTTCTTGGGGGCGCCGGTGTGAGGTGCCTTCTCAAGAACAACGTGTGCGTTGGTGCCACCGAAACCGAAGTTGTTGACACTGATGTACTTCTTGTTCTTGGGGAAGGGCCTTTGAGTGGCAGGAACCTTCATGTTCCACTCCTTCCACGGAATCTTCTCGTTGGGCTTCTTGAAGTCGTGGTTGGGAAGGAGGAAACCTCTCTCCAGCATCATGGTTGCCTTGATGACACCAGCGATACCAGACGCCGCTTCCAAGTGACCAATGTTCGACTTGACTGAGCCGATGAACAAGGGATCCTTCGTTGATCTGTTCTGACCAATGACATTGTGGATCGCGGTGGCCTCAATCGGGTCACCGACCTTGGTACCAGTGCCGTGGGCCTCAACATAACCGCAGTCATTGGGGTCAAGACCTGCGTTTCTGTAGATCTGCCTCATGAGCTTCTCTGTGAAGATTGTTAGTAAATGGTTTCATGAAAACCTGGATGCAATGTTGCATACCCTGTGCTGCGCCACTAGGCATAGTAATGCCAGGCGTCTTGCCATCCTGGTTGATGCCAGTGCCTCTGATGACCGCACGAATTGAGTCGTTGTCTCTGATGGCCTGGTCGAGGGGCTTAAGGATAATCATGCCACAACCTTCGCCTCGGCCGAAACCGGTACCGCGCTGGTCAAAGGCAATAGATCGGCCAGAGTCCGCGAGCAATCTGCAGTCATTGTGTCAGTAACGGAGAGACAGTGTGACGAAAAGCATCCAAGCGTTCAGCGCATGCCTACCTGCAAGACGAGAAGGAAATCCAAAACTCGGGCAGCATGTTCAGATGGCAACCACCAACAATCGCTGAGGTTGACTCGCCAGCACGCAAACTCTGGCACGCCAAGTGGAGGGCGACCAAACTTGCTGAACAAGCTGTGTCTGCTGTGAAACTCGGTCCCCTGAGATCGAAGAAATGTGAGAGTCTGTTGGACTGCATCGCATGGGCACATCCTAAACGGTATATTAGCGCAATTGAATGTCTGGGGTACAGGGGCTACCCTCATACCTGTGGCTTGATGCATGGGGATCGTGTCACTGTCCCTGAACAAGTGACTCTCGTACTCGGCGAAGCTGCCGCCGACAAAGACACCGACGTCTTTTCCAACAATCGTGTGCTTGGGGATACCAGCGTTCTCGAGGGCCTCGAATGTGCACTCGAGCAGAAGACGCTGCTGGGGGTCCATGGAGATAGCCTCCTTCTCCGTCAAACCGAAGAAAGGAGCATCGAACGACGCCAGGTCGACGTCCAAGAAGTTACCACCCTCTGCGTGGTAAGCTCCAGTCTTGCCCGGGTTCGGGTGGTAAAATGCCTCGTGGTTGAAGCGCTCCTTGGGCACGGGAGTAAAGCCGGTTCTGGCGCGGGAGCACAGCTCCCAGAACTCGGCGGGGCTGGAGACGCTGCCGGGCATACGGCAGGCCATACCGACGATGGCGATGGGCATCTGCTTGAGGCCGGCGTCGCTGCCGCCGACGGGGTTGGTGTAGCCCTGGCTCGTCGCATGAGCACTGGCACTGCCGTTGGAGTGGCCATTGGAGTGACCATTTGTTGATTGTCCGTGGATGTTGAGGCCGACACCGTCTAGGGGCCCCACGGACAGGCTAGTGAAGCCATCGGATGTGGTATCGGAGTGATCGATCGGGGTCATCATGACAGGACTTGCCGATGGCGATGTCCCCGATGAGGAGTAGGACAGCACGCCGGGCGCCATGATGAAGGGTGGAAGAGGGGGATTGGCGGAAGCCGCTTGTATGTGTCGAATCTATCCGGCAAGCATTCGTCGAAAGCAACGAAGAAAGTGACAGCGAAGGTTCCGGCGCTCTAGGCGTTCCTTACAATGATCAAAAGAAGAAGGGAAGAATGCGGATGAGGAGGAGGAAGAAACGAAAGGCGGACTGCGTATGCTCTAGATAGAAAACTTGGGGCTTGGAAGAGGGCAGGCCGGATTGATATGGGAGTACGTACCAAGCCTCGTTGAGATGAGTGAGTGTGACGAAACTTCTTTCCTGGTCCTGATTGGGATTCTTCGTAGGGTTTTTAGCTGATCAACGGCCATGGGGAAATATCACACTTGATGGTGCTCGCTCCGTCGCGAGTGAGTTGACATGGAAGGCACTGGTTGGTGCTCAGATCGCCAAGTCGGCCGGAGTTCCTCGCACAGACTAGCCTGTGTGATTTAAATTTGCCTGACGGTTAGGTAGATCATAGGGAGATCCCGAACGTGCATACTGGGCGCATGCCAGCAACGAACAAGGACCATCACGGAGAGGTGCCAGGGCACATCCGATGCCGGGTTGCCCATGTTGACCTGGAGCAGCGGAGCAGCGGCAGTCCCTGCTCACCACGACGTCGCCTCCCCCAGATTCACCAGGGAGGACTGTCCAGCATCAGCACGAGGGAAGTGGCCCAGTGTCGGCCGAGGCGAGAAGCTTGTACCATGTCTATGGTTAATCTGGTCAAAAGCAAGTCCTCATGAACTGATTATGCGTAATGTGTGGGCAAATTGGTATATCCGTTCGTCATATTCGCGCATCACTGGAGAAGGGGTAGGAGGGATATGCGGTCCATGAAGCGGCGAGAAGCAGGACCGGCGGTTCATCGTCCAAGGGGGTGTTTCCATGTCCAATCGGTCACCGTGATTCGGAGACATGATCAACTGCAAGGCGGTTTGCCCTTGATTTGCTGGATGCTGGATGGCGTGAAGACGTGCCTTAGTTTGTTTGCAATTGAGCGGCACTGCCAGGCTGGTATGCAGTCTGGTATGCAGTTTCTTTGCAGAGTGCAGAAGCCGGGCGTTTGATTCGGACCAATACATGGGAACGCAATGAACACTCGAACCTCCCGGACGGGAGCCCGGTGGCGTGGTTCGGAGGTGAGGTGGTGAAGTCGTCGCCGAGGGGAGTTGCCATGGTGTCTGCACCGGTACGCCGCACTACGCAGTAAACGGCTGGGGGTTCTCTTTGGGGTGGGTAACTCCACTGAAGCATTGGACCGTGAAGCAGCAGCAACGGCGAGCTGGGCCATCAGGAGGTGGAGCAGCAGCATTGGAAGCACCAGAGCCAAGCACAGCGCGGCATGGCAACGCAGCACGCAGTGTGCTCCGTGGACGTGAGAGACGAGGTCATTGCGGCATGGTCCCGACTCGGCCTAGCAGGCCGGAGTGGAGAACTTTGTTGCGGATTATGTAAGTCTCGTTCGCCGTCATGATTGGCCTCCCGGAGGTTCTTTGAGCCTCATAAACCTGAGGAGGCTCTGTTAGGATTCACTTGGGACTCTTGAGAGCCATTTTGCGGCCGATGTCTGGAAGTTGCCGCTGCAGTGGCGACCCAGTAATCCAGTGCCAAGGGAGAGCAAGAAGCATGGGATCCTGCAGCTTCTGGCCACAGACTGATCATCTTGCCATCCTACCGAATGAGACACATACAAAGAGAGACACTGAGAAAGAGGCAGAGCAGCTCTGAAAGCTGCCCGTAGAAGAGATGATGGGGCGGAGTGCATATTTCTCCCCATCTCCAGGCATCCGTCTGGACCTACTTGCTGGGAATATCTGCGGGTTCTGTGGATTATGCAGAACATTTGCTGGAGAAACCCAACATCACCAACGCGTCGACCGAGGGTTCGGATCTCGGGATGCCCAGAGACTGACTGGCAGCCTGCCACGTCTATCAGACTATCTGCCAAGTGTCTTGCCTCTCTCTGCAGAGAAGCCCACTGGCAGGCATTCCTCGACTCCTTCCATGTGGCGTGGCGTCTCGCCGCGCTTGTTTCGCCTCCATGTCTTGAGTCGCCCACTCACTAACATCGTCTATCCTCGTCCAGTTTTTACTCGCCCGAGGACCGGGACACCCTGCCAAGCCGGTCTCAGGACCGATACTCACAGGCCCGGTCTCACATCACCTCATCATTCCAACCCATTCAGTAAAGCACTCATCCACCCATCAGCCACTGGTCCAGTATTCCGCTCCAGCTCTCGCGCTCCCATAGACAGCCCAAACCGACCCGTTGTTCGGGTTGGTCCTATCATTCAACGGCAAGGTACCGACAAGACAACTCATCGCCCCAATCTTGCTGAGGTGCAGAGTTTCACAAGTTCCTTATTCGTTCCGGGTCACGGTTGATTTGAGTTGTCATTCTAAGCCTGGGACTGGGTCAACTCAGCCGCCTCCTGTGTCTTGTCGTCGTCCCGCCTCAACTGCTGCGCCGTCTCATTACCTGTCTGAGCTGATGATTTCGTCGTGGGTCGATTACCGCGCATCATATCACAAGTGTTTCTTTAGATAGCTTCGAATTGATTAAAACGCTCCTGTTGGCCAGGCCATCCTCATCGAACTATCTCATCTCCACACCTCGCTGATTCATCATCCACAATCATCAACATCATCAAACCACTCCATCACAAATACTCTCGCGTCGACTTTCCAGCTTCCCGCTTTTTGACAGTTCACTTGTCATTGGACGATCGGTCTCGCTCGGTTCCGCTCTCACATCTCACGCTAACACATACCTACATTCACCATGTTGCGCTTCTTGTGCCTTCCCGGTGCCTACGGCAGCTCGGACGTGAGTACTCAGACCTGATGATGCTATCTAGGGCATTTTACTAACATACACTAGAAATTCCAAGTTCAACTTGGTGAGTTCTCCCTCATGCAATAGACACCACAGACTTATCGTGAGCGGCTTCACTATTGAGATTCACTTACTGATAGTTCTCTCAGCCCCCATCTTGAAGGAGCTTACTGAGGATGGCACGGCTCAGTTCCACTTCATCCATGGACCTTGCAAGGCCGTCCCGCCTCCGGGATTTGAGGACTATTTCGGAGCTCCCCCCTACTACCGCTTCATCGAGCCCGATAGAGATGTCGAGAAGTCCCACAGCGACGATGTCCTCATGCGCATTCGTGACTTCCCCGACTGCGAGACCCCCGAAGACACGATGAGAGAGCTCATGAGAGAAGGCATCGCAACCACCCACCGCAGTACCGACAGAGCCATCAAGTTCCTGGCCGACATTGTCGCGAAGCGCGGCCCCTTTGACGGCATCATCGGCTACTCCGAGGGCGCCACCGTGGCATCCACCTTTATGCTTTACGAGCAGCGTCGCCTCAAGCGCTCCGGCATCAAGCCGGCGTTCAAGTACGGCATCTTCTTTGCTGGCTGGCCTCCGGTCGACCCCAAGACTCACGCCCTGGTCCTCTCTGACGAGAGCGAGGAGCGCATCGAGGCCCGCACCTTGCACATCAGTAAGTCAAGATGATATTCGCACTGCTTCAATGCTGCTTATCCGGAGGAATGCTGACGATCCTCTTCCTTTCAGTCGGATCCTTGGATCCTTATGTCGATGGTTCTATGGCCCTTTACAACATGTGCGATCCCGACACCGCATATCTTTTCGACCACGCCAAGGGCCATACCCTACCCCGTGACAAGGATACCATCAAGGAGCTTGGCGACATCATCCGCGAGACCCAGGCTGACATGCAAGAAGAGGGTCTCTTGTCGTAAGGATGAAGTGTGGGTGAGGGGTGATCCCAGCTGAGGGAATATCCCCGGATAATTAGCATCGATTGTCGTTTTTGGATTTTTTTTGGATTCATGGACGGGGTAAGGAGGTACATCAAAGGGACTGGTTTCCTCCTCGTGTCAGCATTAGAGATAGACGGGTGTTTGGCATGCCGCATATCCTGGAGCCTGCTGGAGTCGGGTATTATGGTTATTTGGGTTTTCTTGCGTCGGTTTATGGTTTTCCTGGCTTTACTGGTTTTCAAATCATGTTTATCGCCACCGACTTCTTCAAGGGGGTTTTGGATGGGTTATTAGTTGCTAGGCAGGACGAGTGCAGCTAGGAATTCTAGATGGCAATGCCAGAGCATTTGACAGGAGTTCCCATCACGGGTCCGTCAACATGTCAAATGTGATTGATTGACTGACTAGAGGCTGAAGCGCATAAATGCATGATCCGGCGGAAACGAACTCCGTAGAGTCTAGAGACGTTTGTCTTTTGTCATGATGGGGTAGGTATGGATCTGTCAACTAGCCTTTGGAGTCAAGATGTCAAATACTCCATGTGCCAGAAATACACATCATGGATAACACATGTTCCTAAACACAAACACGGGCAGAGAAAACGCGCTGGGCAAGAAATTAAAAACGATCCCTTCACGTGTGTCCTCGGAATCGCATCCCCTGGCTCGCGTTTCTTCCGGTCAGCCAATCCATGCCGCTCATCTGCGAACCATGGACACCACTTCCCATGACTTGTAAAACAAAAGATGAAATCTCTCCATTGAATTGCCCTTCTAGGCATTGATCGTCAGAGATTGGCGACACATGGAGAAAATGAAAGGGTGGTGAAGGGGAAGGGATGGTGTGGACGGGTAAGGATGAGGGAGGGGGAATTGGGTGCAGTACCTGTCTTGGATCGCAAAGCATGCGTTTCCTGGCTTTGCCCCAGACCACTCTCTGGGACGAGCCGGAAGGTGATCCATCCTCCCGCACGGGCGATCCCAGATGGCCCCTCAACCTGCATATGCGAGTATGAGAAAATGGTATCCCGTCGTTATTCCGTGCTCTAAGCATGCGCTTTGGCGTCCAGAGCTTTGACACGGAAATAGTGCAAAGTGAGTGAGAAGACAGACATACGAAAGTACCCGCGAAAAGAAGCGGCAAAACTGGAGCACTGCACCGAAGACTAAGAAAAGAGAGCCCCCAGCAAAAGGGAACATGAACACATGCTTCTCGTTTCATCTTTACATCACACGGGTAAAGAGAAGAAACCACGTCCGTTCCCTTACTCGTTTCCGCTTGCCCCCTCCAAGACCGATCTGAGCTTACCCTCACACACTCTCAGCCATCTTTGCCCCCATTCCTTCCATGGCCCTTCCTCTCCTCCACGCTCCTCCCACGCTCCGCCCTCTGGGTCTGGGTTTCCCTATTGAGTTCCACTTGAGCGTTTCTTACCTCTGAATCATCGACTTAGACTTGTCTTTGCTGCCCAGGCGTCCCCCCTCTCAGTCCCAAGGCATCAACCATCTGCTCTCCCCAAGAAAGGCACCCTCTACTCTCTCTCTGTCTCCCGTCTCCAAATCCATCCCATCTCTCCCACCAAGCAATCTCACAATCCTCATCCCCAAACAACTCTCTCGGCGCTGGGTCGATTTCGCTGTTTCGAACAGCGATGCGGAACCAACATAGCCCTTTGATCACTCAGGTGGCCCGTTGACAACCTTAGTGGTTACATCTGCCGTTCCCTCCATTTACAGCGATACCCCCCATCCCCCGATTTCCCCTTTCCAAACCCTTGCCCTGTTCTCCCCTTCCCCTTCCCCTCCCCTCCTGATCGAGTTTTGGCTGTGGTTTCTTCCAGAGTCCCATCTGCGATTTGCCAACTTGTCCATCCCCCGGATCCTAGCAAGTCGCCTGCTTGCTCTTTGTCAATTGTTGGAGACTACCGCGGGACGACAAAAAACGCCACCCTCAACATACTTGAAAGCAACATCTTTGGCATTTGACAAATCTTGCCACGACTTTGGGTATCGAACATCGCATAAGGACACGAGCATTTAGTCAAAGTATACCGGATCTACCACTTAAGCAAGCCCACCCTCCTCACACGCCGATCCCTGGTCAGCTCCCACATGGCCCGGGCCTCCACATAGCTTGCAACCCAAACACGATCTGCCGCCGGACCCGGTATCCGATCATCCACCCCGGTCTACGAGACCCACTCCAACACCCGAACCCACCATGGCCACGCCGGCCGGCGCCGCTGATGCGGCAGCTCCGGCTGCGGCCAACGGGGCCGCGGGCGCCCCCACCGATCCCGGTGCCACACCGGCGGAGCCTAAGAAGGCCTGGTACAAGCTCAACGCGAAGACGTTATTGACGATACGCAACTTCTTTGTATGTTCAATTCACTCTAGCACCTGGTCGCCATCGTGGCTTCGTCGTACACGTTCTTTGCTGACCGGCGACGCAGAAAATCTTCCACTATGGAACATTACTCGACAAGTTTATCATAGTGGGGTCAATCATTGGCGCTATCGGTGCCGGCCTTACCATGCCGGTGATGAACATTGTCTTTGGTGAGTGCATCTCCACGCTCAAGACTATACCAGCTCACTAACGTGCTTAGGACAACTGGTCGGCACCTTCACGGGGTTTTTTATGCAAGGCACATCAGAGACACAAGAAGACTTTGAGAAAGCAGTCAACCAGGGAGTGTAAGTCTGAACCCGTATTCTTGTTTGGCCGCATCGACTGACGTTTGACCAGATTATACATCGTCTATCTGTTCATTGCTAGGCTCATCTTGACATACCTCTCCAATGTGAGTACTCTCAAAGCATAAGCTCTGCGTCGACTGACACATGGTTAGCTGGGCTTCCGCATGACGAGTCTTCGCATCTCAGCAAAGATTCGCCTGCACTACCTACGATGCTTATTCAACCTCCCAATCTCAATGCTCGACATGTTGGCCCCTGGTCAGACAGCCGCCATTATTACCATCACCGCAAGTATCTTGCAGCTGGGTATCTCCGAGAAAATGGGACAGTTCTTCTCTAGTCTTGCAGTCGTCATTGCAGGGTTTACCATCGCTTTCGCCTACAACTGGCTTCTCACACTAACGACGAGCTCCGGGCTGGTCTTCATCGCCATCGTGTATGCCATCACCACGCCGCCAATCATCAAAAGGTTGAAGGATGTCCAGGACATGGATATCCAGGCCGCCTCCGTCGCGACCGAGGCTTTCAGCTCAATCCGAATGCTTGCTGCGTGCGGTGCCGAATTCAAGTTGCTTGCAAAGTATGGAATATTGGCAGATCAATCACGGAAGAGGGGTGCTGGTATGGCTTGGCTCATTGCGGTTCAACAAGGATTGAGTAAGTTGGCACGATTTCACTGATAGAGTTATTCCTTGCTGACATTACAAAGTTTTCTTCGCCATCTACGCGTAAGGATCCGATCCAACGGACACTCAAGCTTGTCAGCTAACACGTTTAGAACCTTCGCTCTGTCATTCTGGTACGCATTCCAGATGTACACTATGATGGCCCTGACGACTCCCACATCCTTGATCGTGTAAGTCATTATACTCCCTCAGGATCAGCTCGAGTAACTCATCCGAAATACAGTGTTCTTCTCTGCATCATGATGATGGCCTCCTCTTTGGGTCAAATCACTGCGCCACTACAGTCCGCATCGCAGGCCGCCGACGCCAACGCCATCTTCCACACCATCATAGACGCCCCCAAAGCTACGTACGGAACGCTCAGGGCGCCCGAGGTCTCGGCCGCTGAAGATATCGTTTTCCAGGCCGTCAACTTTGTGTACCCCAAGCGTCCCGACGTGAAGATCTTGGACAACCTGTTCCTCACGTTCCCTGCCGGCAAAGTCACTGCCATTGTGGGTCCTTCGGGTTCCGGAAAGAGCACAATCGTTGGCATTTTGGAGAGATGGTACGAGTTCAATGGTGACATGCAGACTAATCAACTGGTAAGCTATGTCCTCTTTGATTGCATTCGTGAGACAGTAACTGACGCCATACCAGGTTCTCTGGCTCCGCAACGGTATCATCAGTGTCGGCGGCCGGTTACTCAGCGAGATCGACCCCAAGTGGTGGCGTAGTCAAATCGGCTTGGTCCAACAAGACAACGCTCTTTTCAACACTACTATCTTCAAGAACGTCGAGTACGGTCTCATCGGGACTGAATGGGAGCACAAGTCCCAGGCGGTTAAGGCAAGGCTGATTGAAGAGGCATGCAAGGATGCCTTTGCCGATGAATTCATCTCACGTTTGCCAGAGGTATAATCTCCAAAGCTTCCGCGTCAGACTCGTATACTAACCCGCGTTAGGGATACCAAACTGAAGTTGGTGATGCTGGCATCAAGCTCAGCGGTGGTCAGCGCCAGCGTCTCGCCATCGCTCGTGCCATCGTCAAGCAGCCCAAGATCCTCATCCTCGACGAGGCCACTTCCGCCATCGATGTCCGCAGCGAACAGATCGTGCAGGCCGCTCTCGACCGCGCATGCAAGGGACGCACAACCATCATCATCGCCCATCGCCTCGGAACCATCAAGAAGGCCGACAACATCATTCTCCTGCGCAAGGGCCAGGTCGTCCAGCAGGGTACGCACGAAGAGCTCATGTCCCAGGTCGACGGTCCTTACCACCTTCTGGCTACTGCACAGAAGCTCGACATGGGCGTCGAAGAGGAAGAGGATGTCCTCTTTGGTGACCTCAGCTGGAGACGACCCGAGCCTGAGCGTCTTTCTGTTCACAAGTCTCTTCAAGGAGGCAGCAGTACCGGGGATCTCACCGAGAAGAGACCTAGTAGCGAGGGCACTTCCACGGGCATGCTTCAACATCTCCACGAGATTAACGGCTCTGACGAGGAGCTCGAGCGCATCGAAGCCGGTAGCTTGAGAGTTGTCAGGGAGCCAAGAGGATGTCTCGGTCGATGGAGAGCATTCCACATGTTCGGTAGCTTTGGTCAGCTGCTCGGCGAGCAGAGGAAGAGATGGAAGACGTACATCATCATTGCATTTGCAGCACTCGGTGCTGGAGGTAAGCGCTCACTGCCATTCGTTTTTCCAGTCTGGAGCCGAGAGACTAATACGATCCACAGCGAGCACTCCCGTTCAAGCTTACCTCTTCGCGGTTCTGGTTTCTCTCTTCTCTTACTGGGGCAACTTCCTGAGAGTCATTGCCAATCATTGGTGTGAGATGTTCATGTATCTCGCTACAGGTGTGGGAGTCAGTCACTTCCTGCTCGGCTGGGCTACCACCACCATCGGCTTCGTAAGTCACTCTTCCATCTCTGCTAGGTGCTTTTCTAACAATTTC